AAGGTACCTCTCTAGAGGTGAAAGGTACCTCTCTAGAGGTGAAAGGTTCCTCTCTACCTCTCTAGAGGTGAAAGGTACCTCTCTAAAGGTGAAAGGCACCTCTGTAAAGAAAGGTACCTCTCTAGAGGTGAAAGCTACCTCTCTAGAGGTGAACGGTACCTCTCTAGAGGTGAAAGGTACCTCTCTAGAGGTGAAAGCTACCTCTCTAGACGTGAAAGGTACCTCTCCAGAGTACCTCTCTAGAGGTGAAAGAGGTGAAAGGTACCTCTCTAGAGGTGAAAGGTACCTCTCCAGAGGTGAAAGGTACCTCTCTAGAGGTGAAAGGTGCCTCTCCAGAGGTGAAACGGTACCTCTCCAGAGGTCAAATGGCTACATCTCCAAGAACTGATGTGACTTGAGCTCCCGGCTGTAGAGTGAGTCAATGAATTGGTTCAAGGGATAATCTCCAGGAAACCCATAGTTTTGGGGGGGTGAAAACCCTGAATCTCTGCAGATGTTCCCTTAAACCCATTCATTGAGTGAGAGTTCCCTTCGCCACTTGCAATATAAGTGCTCGATTTGGTCCGTAGCTTTGCATGTGTCAGCATTGGAGCAGAATAGCCCATGGTACAGAAGTGGTGTTTCTGTTGCATATTCTGGTTTGTCAGGGGTGTCACACGCCAGAGCCTTCCTGGAAGCTAATAGTCACAGGAGCACCTACGAAATTCTTTCCCGCCAAGTGTCGACGCTCCGACCTTGCCCATGCTACACTGCTCCACCCTCTATTGTAGCAACTGATCGGCACGCAGCTCACTCCAGGGCTGAATCCGAAGTGGACGTTTATTTCGGCACTGGCGCCTTTGCCCGGCTACAGCACGAGCTGGCGGGGGGGGCATGGGACGAGATGGGAAGTAAGAGAACAAAGCGTTCGGTGATTCACACGTAGCGTTTGTTTTTTTTGTCAGTTTGCCCAGCCAAAAGAAAAGCAGTGATATATTTGCTGCTTGCACACACAGTGATTATGCTGTAGCTCATGTTTGTGTTTGTTTTGGGGGACAGGACAGGTCTTGGTAACCTTGGTTGCTGTTTTGTATTTTAATAGATTGCCAGAACTGGCGTCTAAGGAGACTCCTGACAAAGATCCACCCAATGACGCAGGTCCTGCACTACCATTGCAAAAGCCAAAGAAACCAAGCTTTTCTGACACGTGCTTAGTAACTGAGTGGGGGAATGGATCCTAAGGTATCTATAATAGCTACAATGATACTATTACTATATATATCTAAAGTGGGGGGGTCATTCCCTCATTCATTCCCTGCAAACTCGTCGCACCGGTCAGTTTTGGGAAATGCCGCACTCCAGAACATGCCGCACAGGGCGCAGGTTTCCAGAACATGCCGCAGGTTGGCGCCGCTTTCTGCGCCGTAAATGCCTTTGAGTGACTAGAGAACACATTTACAAGATTGACGTACAGTGACACATAGGTTGTTTCACTTTTTTTCACTTCTTTTCTCTTGTGTTTGTTCCACTGACTTCTCCTTGTGCTTCATTCCCTTTTGGTGTCTTTGTGTCCTGTAACCCACTGTTCCCCAAACCTTCCCCAAAACTCGCCCGCTTCACTTGCTCTCCGCCCTGTGGAGGTCATGAAGGAGGCTTTGGAGTTGGGCCGCCACTTGCCGATGGTGTGAGTCTTTTGCGCGAACAGAATCCGAACGGGCCCGGACCATGGGTTCGGGCTTGAG